TTGCTCAGTCTGCCCTTTTTTGGGCGAGGAGACGCCGTCGTGTGCCACTCGGAAGCTTGCCTCTTTGTCACGGGATCATACTCAAAGATCCACGACTCATCACCTGTGATTACGTTATTCAAAAATTGGGGGTCACTTTCACACATGTTCAAATTTTCTTGGCACACTTCCACTCGTCGCAATTTCTGGTCGTCAGTGAGCACTTTTGGGACCATCTTCGCGCACACCTTGTGCATGTTCAAATACTGTCACAATGTCATGAACCACAGATTTTGGTAAATTTAACATCTGGGCAATTAAACGAATACTTAGTCGACGGCGTGAGTTCAAAACTTCGCGCACGCGAGTCACATTATCGGTGTTTGTCGAAGTCGAAGGTCTTCCAGTTCGATCTTCATCAGCGACCTCTTCCCGGCACTCCAAAAAGGCCTGGTGCCACCGGAACTCACCACTTCTTTGATCATATCAAACGTCTCTGTCGCAGATTTACCGAGTTTCACACAGAATTTAATCACGTACTTCTGCTCTACAGTATATTCAGATAAGAGATAGACCGGACATAAACAAGACCACGTGATCATCGAACGCTGTAACATTCGGCAGGGACGTATTAAGAGTCACGCAGTACATATTTTAGATAGTAGATGCTGCTTTGCGTAACTTTGTAGTAAATTAGCACAATTCGATGTGTATACGATTGGTGATGGATATAGGATCATGTGGGGGTGGGGTAAGAAATATATAATGATGTAAATATACATAAGGGTTTCAAAATTTTCGCTTCGATTTCCAGCTTCGGATGCCGCCTGATGTTTGGTGAAATACAGTCGAATATAATCTCAAAATGGCGTTTAAATTAGCCTAAATTAAAAATAATCGTATATCTCTTAAAATTGCTTTTAGAATATTGATTAGTATATTTTTTGTTTTCTAGGTAAATATGTAACCAAATTAAAACGTTCAAAACGTAAAAAAATGTGCATGGTTGAACATTGTCAGAAAGTAGCTTCTTGAATAGGTTTTGCCAAAATGGGTTCAAAAATGTCAATAATTAATTAAAAAATACAGTAGCTTTATAATTACTTATAACTTACCGAATTTGATGAACGACATCTTTTATTGGAAAGATGAGCTTGATGAGCTTTCATCATCGCTACTGCCTGAAGCACCAACGTCAATAATGAATGGCTCGACTTGTTCCTCTAAAATATTGTCCAGTTCCCACATTCTGTTTTCAACTTTGTCTTTCACGTGCTTAATACAGTTTCCCCATTTTTGCGCTGTTATTAATTCTAGTGCTTCTTTGAAAAGTCCTTTGAGGTCACAAAATTTAAAAGTTGTATTGTGCTTAGCTATATAATTTTTAACCTCTGCCCATATGAGCTCAATGGGATTGAGCTCGCAGTGGTATGGAGGTAAACGGAGCACAGTTTTATTTTGACTTGCTGCCATTTCGTCAATGGCGTATTTTTTATATTCCGCCTCGTGATCCTTGACAATTCTTAATAATTGTACTTTCAGCATTGCTTCTTCAAAGTTGATATTTTTCGAGCGGAGCCAATTTTGAACATCAACTTTCCTTGAAGCCGTTGTTGGGACCTTCTCCATTCTTCGAGAATGATAAGGCGCATTATCCAACACAATTACTGCGTTTTCCTCTAAGTTCGGTAAAATTTTTGAAAACCACTGTTCAAACGATTCGCCATTCATTTCCTCGTGGTAATCTCCAGTTTTCTTAGACTCGAAGCACCACAGACCGTCAACAACAAATCCATCCTCACTGCCAATATGGCAGATAATGAGCCTTTTCCCTTTACCTGGAAATCGAAGTACTAACTGGTGTAGATTTTTTTCAATAAGCGAACCTTTTTCAAATGTTTTCATCACATTCAGCGAAAAAACATTGAGACATGAGTATCAGATTGCTGTAATTGGGATTATTTAGTCATATTGAAAGAAAGAATATTGAACGTCGTATGATTACTCAGCGCTTCACAATTTAATTTAAAGTTATAAACCTTTAAAAAATGAATGATCAGGAACCTGAAATACGCGCAAATATTAATATTAACAAATTATAACTTTATAAAGCTTAAAGTATGAATTAAAATGTTTTTAAGTTTATAATATTTGACATATTTTAAGATTATATTAAAAAATTATTGAAATACCGAAAACACATAAAAACATGGCTTAAAAAAGTTCTAACAAATGAAAATGACAATAAAACATCCACGCATTTTATCGAAAGTTATAAAAGTTTTGTTACTTGTAATATGTTTTATCTGCCCCCTGGAATTAATGTTTAGAACCTTGTTCCCAAGGTTTGAAAAACATCCGATTGTTGTCTATTACTCGTATTTACCTGCTGGATTTTTTAATCCGGTGGACAGTCCATCTAGAAAGGCCCTCCTGGATGAAGTTACAGAATCATCAACCCATACTTTACTTGTAGTGTGTCCTGCGTTTACCCACGTTTCATCAAGGTAATAAATCTTCCTGTTTTGATTTCTATATTTCCCAATTTTTGTTAAATAATCCCTCCTCCATAGCACAATTTCTTCTCTATCCAGTAGTAAACTATTACGACCCCGTTTTTTTCATTTGAAATTTAAATGCTTCAGTAACGCATGGAAAGTTGATCGTTTGAAATTTGGCAACGTTGTATCTCCATTTACCTCCTGCAGTACTTTATCTATAGTAGGTATTTCATTCCTAAAGAAGAATTCATGCACTTTCCTCCTAATCGCATGCTTATCAGCTTCATCCAATGATTTAACAATACTTTTGCGATGTTTACTGGTCATTGGCTCAGAAAAGGTGTGATTTTTTTTGTATTGTCTTAACACATTAAACACTGATGCGCGACACACCCCAACTTTGTGAGAAACCTTCACAACAATTTCTTTGATGGTTGATGCCTCGTTCTCCTCGCGCTCGATCTTATATATATTCAAAATGACCTCTTTCATTTCTGCACTCAGGTGTCTTTTTTTAGAGCGTTTCCTAGGTGGAATACAGGAGTTTACAACTTCATCGGCAGTATCTGTACTACTGGGCATTTTGCGCAAGCAGTTGATAACAATAACAATCAATAACAAGGTATAACAATAACAACGACAAACTCAACAACTTAATAAGATAACAAACGAAAACGTCCAAAGAAATATCAAATTGCAATGATGCACACGACATACGTAACACGTCTGAACCTGAATGTGACTCTGCCTTGATACGACTGCTCTGCCGCTCGGCATAGGCATTTAATTGCGAATTGACCAATGAGGGCTCCTGTTTTACGTCGAGACGGCGGCGTTAGCGTGAAAATCACCCGAACCTTTTGTTTATATCCGCTCTATCTCTTATCTGAATATACTGTAACGAACGCTGCATTTTCGGCTTGCACCACTCACAGAAACACGTCGCGCGAAAATGCCTGTCTTGACTCTCTAAGTGCTCGGAGACAACTGACCAGCCGCTCATTCGTTAGCTAGGAACGCCCTCTACCGAATTCAGTCGGTGCGCGCATGCTCCGAAGTACAGTCATGACGGAAGAAAATGAGTCCTATTACTTTCCGGACAAGCCCTGTATGTGCTGTGCTATTACTCACACGTTTGGAATACTGAAATGGACACAAACGGAGCTACAGGACATACAAACTAAGACAAATGTTGCAATGACAAAACATCGAATCCATCACCCCAAAGCAGCAATAGAACGAATAACACTGAAGAGGTAGAGGTCTGACAGTCATCCTAAGTCTACATATGTAGCAAGAGTATACTTAAACTTAGAGACTGCTTCCTACCAAAGCATTCATCATCGCAAGAAGCATACAAATATAACGGGTGATTTTTTAAGAGGTATAGGATTTGATTTTCGGGATGCATTGGCAGCTCTTGCAATGCTTCTGGCTGGTCTTCACTCCAGATGCGGCAATTTTGCTTGTTAACGTACCCAACGTTGTGGGAGATCGTGTGGCTTCAATTCTTGCACCAGCTGTATCTTATAAGGTTTTACACGAAAATCCTGTCGCAAAATTTTCCACGTAGTGGAGTAACAGAGGCCCAATTGCTGCGAACGGCGACGAATCGACATTTCACATCACTAACACTGGCGGATACAGCCGCAATATTTTCTTCAGTCCTCACTCTACGTCTGCGTGTTGGTGGTTTAATTTCCAATAATGTAAACTGGGTTCGAAATTTAGTCACAAGCTTCCGAATAGCTCCCTCAGTAGGCCGACCAAATTGCCCATAAATTGGAAGCAGTGCTCGATGCACTCTCTTAACCGAGCATGAATTTTGATAGTAAAATTCAACAATTTGCAAGCGTTGTTCGTTCGTAAGTCGATTCATGGTTAAATTATAGACCAAACTGAACAAGTTCGACAATGACACAAGACACGGTTCACGCGTCATCTGTCAAAAACAGTGTTGCCAAAAAGATACTAGCAAAAAAATCGCCCTTTACTTCCCCAACTCGCGAACCAAATGCCCGCTTGTATATAAAGGAAGATAGCAAAAAAATGAACAGGTGGACGGAAAAGGCTCTTCAGGGAAGGTTCCCTCAAGATGTAAGGCAAGATACTGTAGACAATAGATCGTCTTACAACTAGCTGACACGCGGGGAATTGCAACCAGAAACCGAAGAGTTCCTCATCGTTATCCAAGGCCAGGTTATCAAGACCAACAGCTACCTCAAATACATCTTAAAAGCCGGAGTTGAATCAGGTCTATGCCGACAATGTAAAAGGCCAAGAGAAATCATTCACCGCATTATAGGAGGATGTTAGATGCTAGCGCAGAAGGAATATAAAAGATAGGATCACGTGGGGAAAATTATACACCAGGAACTAACTTTCAAGCATAAACTTTCGAGCTCCAAGGTTAACTATGATCAATATGAACGAAAAACAATGCTAGAAAACGAGAAATGTGAAATGTACTGTCACTGGACTATCATTACAGACAAGAAAATTTGACATAAAAGACCTAATATGGTGATTAAGAAGAAAAAGGATAATGAGGCACTTCTCATAGATGTCGCAGTAATAAGCAACAACGTGGAACAAACGTGCGGCGACAAAATTTCTACATACATGAACCTATGCTTTGGAATTAAGGGTTTATGGAAGTATGAAAAAGTAAGAGAAGTGCCAATTGTGCTGTCTGATATTGGTGTGATACCAAAGGAACTCTGCAAATGTCTTCTGGAGCGGGACACACAACCACACCTCTATCAACTAATGCAAAAGTCATCTTAAATACATCCGACTTGACCAGGCGCTCTCCGCTGGGTGAGTTTCTTTAATGGAATTACCAATGTAGCCAAAAATGTTGCTGGAAATCGCCAGCGGACAAGTGGAGAAAAAAGTCGCTAAAGCATACAGAAAATCGCTAAGTCTGGCAACAGCGTTGTTTTGTCCAGACGACACGTTACTGAGTCGCGACTAGGATAGTGATGGGACATTTTATTCAAACTGATCGGTGCACGAACATATCTGAATGACTCAGCACACTGCGAGTGGGCAAAGTGATTTCTCTCAGGTACAAAAAGGAACTAAGGAACAGTCAAATAAGAATTCCATCTGACACGCATGGAACATCTGTCGAAATCATGTTTAAGTGTTGTACGAAAATGTTTTATTGATATCGATGAATTTCTAGAACATCCAAAGGTCTGAAAAATCTTTGAGAGATTTGAAAATCTCCAGATCTTCGTGATTTTCCAGACATTAAATGATATTCAGAACATGTGCGTGAGTGCCAATACTTGCTTCAAATTGTAAAATGGAGAAATACAGAATGCTGTCGTCCAAGAAGTGGCCTATTTAGATTACTAGACAATAGGTTTCTTCCACCACCTATAAAAGTAAAACAAACAGTTGATGACTCGGTTTTGAATAAAGGAGGGCGATAAAACCATAACTCCGACAGTGTAATGAACATGTCTTTCAACAAAAAACTGTGTATTCCTCCTTTCACCACGTCGCCTTCTAACCCTGGCACGACCATCGTGCATGCCTGAACAAAATCGAGACTCGTCACTAAAGACAGTACTGTTCCATTCCTGATCCCAAAGTGACCGTTGTCTGCACCACTCAAGGCGATTACGTCGGTGTTCTCGAGTTAAAGGGAGGACCCAGTGTGGCCGGTATGAAAACAAGCCAAAACTTCTCATTCGTCGGTAAACACTTCGCATGCCAATAGGTCTTCCGTGTTCTGCAAACCATTCATTTGCAATGGACCTGGTAGTGGAGAAACGGTCCCTTAAGGCCAATAATCTTAGGCGGCGATCTTCACGGTCTGTTGTTCTACGGCGGCGTCCAGTGCCCCTTGCTCTTTGCGTACGGCCTTCTCGAAACCATGCCTGACAACACCTAACCACAGTGTCTACACTTCTTTGCACTCTAACTGCAATTGCCCGAAAAGAAAGTCCAGCTTCCCGAAGTCCCACTATACGGCCCTTATCAAACTCGCTAAGTTGACGAAATCGTACAGGTCTCCGTACTCTAGGCATCGTAACCGATCGTAAAGGATGTCAAGAACCAAAATCCGCCAACGTTGATTCTTTACTGCGACTGAAATATTCATTTTTAGAGCGTTAGTGAATTAAAAAAAAAACCAGTATAAAAACCGGAATGTCCAACTGATAAGGCTGAAAAATTTTTCACTTGTTACTTACAGTAAGATAAATACATTCACCAACTTTTATTAAAATAAAACCATTTAAACTGAGTGTTCGGATTTATATGTCACTTAGTATATCATTACCGCTGCAAATCACATCCTTAAATTTTAATACCTTTAAACCGACAATAAGAAATTTCCTTGCTGAAAATGCATTTTATTCATACCATGAGTTCTTGGACTTTAAATTTTGATATGTGCTGTATCGGTTATTGCTCTTTAAATTATTCGTATTATTTCATGGTACCTTTTTATATATTATTCTTCGAAGTTGAGTCATTTATTTTAACAGTGAGTAAATCTGATCAAAAGAAATGTTTTTTTCCTTTACCATTTTTCTGGTAAAATTAAAGTAACAAAGTTATAGCCCTTTGGAAGTTTGAGTACCGCCCTGTCTCAATAATAATATTATGTGCTCGTGTTTGGAAACAAGGGATATAATCCACCTTATCGGTTCATCGCATCGGAAACAAAAAATGAAAGAATTTGGAACGATGTTTTTACAATTATTTTATTCACTTGTCTTCAGTCAGTGTCAGTCGGTAACGCGTGAGTGAATAGTGGTGTCTGTTGCGTGGCTCAAACGAAATCAAAAATGGCACATGTTTACGAAAATGCTGAACTTGTGGACATGATTCTTATTTACGCGGCATCACAGATTTATGCGGATCTGTTTCCCAATCGAGTGCAACCAACCCCTCGTGCCTTTGTTAATGTAGTACAAAGGGCTCGTGATTCAGGTGACTTAAGACCTCACAGGGGAGGGCATGCCGGTGCTCCAAGACCGCACGATCAAATACAGGTCCGCACTGAAATACTTGTCGGGAGGATACTTTATAAAACAAGGTAACATTTTTTTTTAATTTTTCTTTTTATTTTTACACACATATTTTGGTTTGTCTTCCTTCTACAATCATTATCTGAAAATTAATGACTCAACTTCAAAGTCACCCTGTATATACACATTTGTCATCTGCAAGGTGGATAAAAAGATTATTATCTATGTATACTATAAACATGATGTTACGAACTGACGTGTGTAAGTACAGTATGTACACTAACACCAATAAAGTATTGTATTGTATTGTATTGTATCACTTGCCTAGGGTAGCGAAACGAATATAGCACAACTTAAACCGTATAGAAAGTAAAAGCTATGCGGAAAACGTCGAAGTAAGAAGGAAATTCGGAGTTCAACGTTTTGCGTCGCTGGTATATCTGCTGGTGAAAAAAAGATCGCAGAGCCCAAACGACACCACTTTATCCCGCCAGTTTATTGAATGAGTATGAGGGTGAATGCATTTATTTGTTTTACCCTCTCAACGTCCTTGTCATTTGAATGCCGCGTCGTGTCGCCGCCAATACTCCGCTAAGTTCTGAGGAATTCTCGGGGTTTAGATTACACGAGTAGGTGCTTACGGCTAAACTCAGGATCTGAATAATAGCTGAAATGAGGGTACTTTGGCTTTTGTGGGATGTTGCTATCAACTGGCATTCGTCGGCTAAGAAGCCTTACGATTCCATCCAGTATCGTTATGAGGGTGGTTTATTTTCCTACATAGTAAGAAAAGCAAAGACCGATGTCAGCGCAAAGTACGTTGAATTTGAGGTATTGGAATGTAAGTTTGAGAAACGTTTTTTCCATATATATTTTTTATCACGTCTTTTGACGTTTTTAAACTCTAGCTTTTTAAAACGACAGTGTTCCGAAGTAACATATTAATGAAATCAATTTTTATGTTTTACAGTTTTTAATTTTGACATATTCTATTTATATCATCTACCGATGATTCGTTGAATATTATCTGATTTCTCCTCCTTCTTTCTCTTATCCTCCTCCTTTTCTTCCTCCCCTTTTTCTGCTCTTCTTCTTCTTTTTCTTCTTGTTCTTCTTCTCTTTCTTCTTCTCCTTCATCTTCTCCTTCCTTTGCTTCATCTCCTCCATCTTCTCATTCTTCTTAATTTTCTTGTACATCTTCTTTATCAATTTCTTCATAATCTTCTTCATCATCTTCTTTATCTTCTCCTTCATCTTATTCATCGTCGCCTTCTTCTTCGTCATCTTCTTCATCATCTTGTTCTTCATCTTCCTCTTCATCTACTTCATGTTCTTCATCTGCCGTATCTTCTTCTTCTTCAACTTTTTCTCCATCTACTTCTTTCTATCCTTCTTCTGATTCTTCTCCATCTTCGTCATCTTCGTCATCTTCTTCATATTCTTCATCTTCTTCATCTTCTTCATCTTCTTCGTCTTCTTCGTCATCTTCGTCATCTTCGTCATCTTCTTCATCTTCTTCGTCTTCTTCGTCATCTTCGTCATCTTCGTCGTCTTCTTCTTCGTCTTCTTCGTCTTCTCTCGTCTTCTTCGTCTTCTTCGTCTTCTTCGTCTTCTTCGTCTTCTTCGTCTTCTTCGTCTTCTCGTCTTCTTCGTCTTCTTCGTCTTCTTCGTCTTCTTCGTCTTCTTCGTCTTCTTCGTCTTCTTCGTCTTCTTCGTCTTCTTCGTCTTCTTCGTCTTCTTCGTATTCTTAGTCTTCTTCGTCTTCTTGTCTTCTTCGTTTCTTCGTCTTCTCGTCTCTTCGTCTTCTCGTTTCTTGTCTTTTCGTCTTCTTCGTCTTCTTCGTCTTCTTCGTCTTCTTCGTCTTCTTCGTCTTCTTCGTCTTCTTCGTCTTCTTCGTCTTTCTTCTCTTCTTAGCTCTTCTCGTCTTCTTCTTTTCTTCGTCTTCTTCGTCTTCTTCGCTTCTTTCTCTTTTTCGTCTTTCTTCGTCTCTTCGTCTTCTTCGTCTTCTTCGTCTTCTTCGTCTTCTTCGTCTCTTCTCTTCTGTCTCTTCGTCCTTCTTCGTCTTCTTCGTCTTCTCGTCTCTTCGTGCTCTTCGTCTTCTTCGTCTTTCTTCGTCGTCTTCGTCTTCTTCGGCTTTTCCGTCTTTCCGTCCCGTCTTCTCCGTCGTCTCGGTCTTCCTCTTCTTCATCTACTTAATCATCATTTTCTTCTCATCTTCTTTTTTTCATCTTCTTCTTCTTCTCCATCGTCGTCTTCTTCTTTTTCTTCTTCTCTTCCTCCTCCTCCTTCTTCGTCTTCTACTTCTTCTACCATAATGTCATGTGTGTATGTATTTAAATCTTTGTGCTGTGATCTGATAATATACTAAGTGACATATAAATCCAAACACCCAGTTTAAATGGTTTTATTTTAATAAAAGTTGGTGAATGTATTTATCTTACTGTAAATAACAAGTGAAAAAATTTTCAGCCTTAACAGTCTGACATTCCGGTTTTTATACTGCTTTTTTTAATTCACTAACGCTCTAAAAATGAATATTTCAGCCGCAGTAAAGAATCAATGTTGGCGGATTATGGTTCTTGACATCCTTTACGATCGGTTACGATGCCTAGAGTACGGAGACCTGTACGATTTCGTCAACTTAGTGAGTTTGATAGGGGCCGTATAGTAGGATTT